CATGTTTTCTTGGTGAAGCTGCACTAGAAAACACATTTACTCATTTCCTTCATTGACTTGACAAAGATGACTCTTTAACCACTGAAGTAGAAATATAACGTTCCAGAACAAATAAAGGGAGAGAATGTATAATCTAAAAGATGACTTTGTCAAGTCAATGGTGAAGTTACTCTTGTCCTTCTACTTCTTCTTCCCATGGTGAAGTTGCACTAGAAAACACATTTACTCATTCTTTCCACATTGACTTGAGAAAGTCTTTTCATTTAGTTTCCAATTTAGGTTTGCCTATATATATTCTCATGTTTTCTTCCAGAGAGCTTGGACAACGGTTTTCTTGCTTTGTTCCTTGGTGGGTAAGAGAACATGGAGAGGTCTCTTAGGCTTTTGTTGCTGCTAATTGGAACTTTTTCCGCCATTCATACTGTTCAAGCTCAGAGTAAGAGCCAAGAAGGTATCAACATGCATCTTAATTGACATATTTTACATAAATGTGGATTTTCTACTTCTTTTCTTTCTTATTACCATTTTGGTTCTTAATTATTCTTGTTCTTGGAAATTTTATCTGGTATATCTTTGACGGTGAATTTTGTTCCATGTTTGTGAACAGGGTTCATCAGTTTGGATTGCGGGCTACCCGCAAATGAACGTTCTCCTTATGAAGAGGAGAAAACTGGATTACAGTTCTCTTCGGACGCAACATACATCCAGAGTGGAAAAAGTGGTTGAAGCAAATATGGAGAGTAGATACCTGAAGCCGTACACAACGCTAAGATATTTTCCAGGAGGAACACGTAACTGCTACAATCTAGCCGTTGAGAAGGGAAGTCTTCACAGTTATCCAGTTTCCGCAATCTGAAACAAATGAAAAAGATGGTATATGTTTCAACCTTATGGAGGAAAATTCTATTCATGTAAGGTCTATTCTTTTGTATGTTTATTTCTAACATCTTGAATATATATATGTCAGTGGTTGCTATCAGAAACATTGAAGCCACCTATGGATTGAGTAGAATCAACTGGCAGGGCGATCCATGTGTTCCTCAACAGCTTAAGTGGGACGCTTTAAACTGCGGCAACACGGATATGTCCACACCACCAAGAATCACTTCTTTGTAAGTCATAAGTTCACTAAGTCTTTAAATCTGTTTAGAAATTATTGATCATTAACACTTTGAATGTGGCTCTGTTAATTCCACCAGAAACTTGTGGTTTAACTGGAATCATAGCAGCTGCCATTCAAAACCTTACGGAACTAGTAGAACTGTAAGCAAGTCCATTGTTTATCTGAGGCGAAAATTTGTTATATGTATGCGAGAAATCAGATGCAATTTCAAATTATCTTCTACCCCGCAAAATTTCAGGGACTTAGCAAATAAGAAATTGACTGGAGAGGTCCCGGAGTTTCTAGGCAACATGAAATCTTTGGTGTTCATGTAAGTTTCTCTCAAGCATATTAGTCGAAACTATGCATTTCAATTTTCAAATCCCACCTTGGATTCATTTGCTCTTTTTATGCAGAAACTTAAGTGGGAACGATCTTAGTTCAGTTCCTCGATCTCTACAACGGAAAGGACTCGAGCTACAGTAAGTAATTTGTGGACTTTTCTCTGTTATTATTATCCACAACCTTTTTATGCGTTTGATGTCTGGAAACAACAGTTGTCTTCTTGTAGTCTTGAAGGAAACCCAAGGCTTTCTCCCTCTGGTTCACCAACAAAATCATCACATGGCAATAACCTTCGAGCTATAATTACTGCGTCACTTGGCTATGCGGCTTTCATCATTGTTGTGTTGGTTCTTTGATAGTGTGATGATTCCCAAAGCAGGATAGTGTGTGTTGCAAGTATCCTATTTGTTTTTTGAATTTTTGAGTGCCAGTACGTATTTTTGTTATTGCTGTTTTTAATTGTGAATATTATAGAAAATGCCATTATTTTTATAAGTCTTGTTGAAAATGTCATTATTTTGATATCTTGTCAAAATTGCCACGTTGTATTACACATCATCAAAAAAGACACATTTGCCTCTTATCTTTAACAATTTCCACACATTTTTTTTTTTAAAAAAACATATTCTTCTTTTCTCTTTCCTTTTTCTTTCCTTTTTCTTTTCTCTTTCCTCTCTCTTTCCTTCCTTTTTCTCTCTTTCTTCTCTCTTATCTCTCTCATCGTCGAATCGTAGGAGACAAAACGGAAATGAATAGTCGTCGGAGATGAAGACAGTGATAGACGAAAATAGTG